TCCAAGTGATTCCCAGAAGGAAATCAAATGACTGGTAATCAACTAAGTTTATAGTATCTCGAAATGAAAACGAACCCTATTGATAGAGTTTAACAGTAAACTTGAAAGACAAGGGAATAGTTAGTACATTCAAAGGGGCAGAAGCCAATCAAAACGCTAGTGGGTTATATAAAATATGAACCATACGATGGAAAAAGAGCACGCAGAATTATACTTCAAATATATACAAATTGTAAGAATGGAAATATAAGGGAATATAACACTAAACCTACCCGAAAATCAAATGAATAACAAAGTTAAGATTATATGATTAGTGATACGCTGGTTTTTCCCTGACTTAATTTAGTATTAAAATAATACAATAATACTACTTTGATACTCATCTAAAAATATGCCTAGACAAGACAAACAGTCAGAATCAGCATAGAACTTTGCATCGGTTCGACTTGCAACACTTCATAGTAGTATCATCATCATTATCAACATAGGGCCAGGCATTACTGCGTAACGGTCCGAGTTGCCACACCTCACGTCAGTTCATCAAGTAAAAAGGTAGTGAGGTCTTACCATACCAGAAAGGTCTGTTGGATAGTGGTTAGACGAAAAGCAGTTACCGTCATAGTGTAAATTGCTACACTATGATGGTCGTCTGAGGGCGAAATCGTACTGCTGCTAGCTGGATGGGGTGTGACAGCAGTAAGGTGTTTCCCTTGGATGACCAGCAGTGCCATGCTGATGCTGCCTTCTCAGTGGAAGGGGGAAGGGGGGTTAGACAAGATCGGCCCCAAAAATAACACACTCTACCATGCCCCACGGTCTGCCGGGCCGGCAGTGTTGGTTCACTTGTCGTTTCCTTTCGACCATCCGGCCCCAAAAATACAAAAGTTCATAGTAGTATACAAAGCAACATATGATGAGAGGGTGAGTGAAAATGTTCAACCTTCAGAAGACATCAAACAATGAATACATCTGTTCTATTATGACTGATTGTAGTGGACTGGATCATGCAACAAACTGTGAGGAGCGAGAAGAGGGGATACGCTGGCTCGACCACGGAAAAGAACCTAGAAGACTTGCATTTCACTGATGATCATTTATGTCCAGTGTCGCACAAACTTGAAGATCTATAGGCAAAAACTAACAAGTTGACAGAACACGCAGGATAGCGAAGATAACACTTCAAGTAAATATAGAGAAGACAGAGGTAATGAAGATACCTAACTGACAACAACAACAACAACAACAAACTCCAATCACCATCAACGGCAGAAACTTAAACCAAGTAACCCCCTTCACCTATCTACGCAGCACTGTTTCAACTACAGGCGCCATAGGCACAGACGAGGACGTCAAAACCAGCCAGCCAGCATCCGAAAGACAGCAAGATACGCCTTCCTTCATTAACATGAAACCAGTGTGCACATCTTCTGCACTCAGCATAAAGCGTAAACAACATACGGATTTTCAACACCAATTTAGTCAAGTCAGTACTCCTCTATGTCTCGGAGACTCGCCGCGTTACGAAAGGGATTTCCAACAAACTACACACATTCATCAACAACTGCAACCTACACTGGCTCCATACTCAACATCAGATGGCCAGAATAATGAGAATAAGCAACAACAAACTCTGATCCGGGAACGAACCAATGAAGCAACAATCTATCGCTCAACAAATATGCAGTGGAAGAAAGTGGAGATGGATTGGATTGGACTGGATTGGGCATGCACTAAGAACGCCGACTGGGGACATCATGCACCAGGCCAGTCCCTCGAGTGGAACCCACATGGGAAGCGACGAGTTGGGTGTCCGAGGCGTGGGTGACATGGAGGAGATCGTGCGAGGAGGAAATGACAGTTTCCGGGCTGTCGTGGAGCCAGGTTCAAAAGTTTGCAGAGAACAGAGTGCACTGGAGACGTGCTACTGAAGGCGTATATTCCACTAGGAACCCAAGGGACAAATAATAATAATGACTGATTTTTAGCCATTACACCCAGTCCTCAACCATTGATTCCTGTCACTTCAGGGACCCCAGTCAAACAGTCTGTATTTCACCACACGGCTCACGCCAATAAGTTAAAGATTTCATGTATTGGTTCTAAGTCTTAGTCTGATCACCCTGAAGCCTCTTCCAACTTAATCCAACTTCCCCTAGGATTGCATGTCAAGAAGCAACTAGCAATATACTTGTTGAGTAAAAAGAATGAGTTAGTTAAGCTTAGTGAAGCTTTTAACGACAACTAGTGGTGTTTTTTAGGGATACTTAATATCACCATTCCTATTCAACTTCGTTATAAATGTACTAATGGACATAATCTTAGGTACGTCTGACTTCACAGGGAATGATGTATGTCCTGAATGGCATGTAGTTGACTTGGTATATCCAGATGATGTTGTCCTGCTAGGTGAAGATGCTGGCAAATGCATAGTCTTTTGAACGTGCCAAGCAGAAATCTGAGTATGTTTGGTGTGCGTTTCACTGGCACCTGTCAAATGTAAGATTATGCTTGAGAACTTGCCTGCCATAAGTACTTCCAGTGTAGTGATAGCGAATTTAGGAGTTGATAATAGAATCTCAGCTCAGATACAGAAGACCTGTTTGACATTTTCCAACTTGAAGCATCTGTGGCACGAAGTGACGAGATATTCGGCCATCTCTCTAGGAAAGGACGAGTATACTGCGCCGCAGTTCTGTCCTGTCATATCGTCGTGAGAAATTGTCGTTAAAAGTAGAAGACATGAAGCGATTACAGGGTTTTGATCACAGATATATTCGTAGTATTACTCATGCTTCGTGGAATAACCGTGTGAGAAACGTTGGTGTTAGGGGAAAAAGGTACTAGGCAAGATAGGAAAGTCGATTGATGAGCTTGTGAACCCTATTCGACTGCGACGGCTTTGACATGCACTGCACATGCCGAGGCACCGCCTACCTAGACGTGGCATGCTAGAGGAAGTTGGACTAAGTTGGAATAAGGTTCAGCATGGGCAGATCAAGACTTGGAGCCAGTCGATGACGTCTCTGACTGATGGTCTGAGTCGTGTGGGGAGATGAAGACTGCCTGTCTAAAGTCGCCGATACGAAAGGAATCAATCATTGAAGACTCTAGGTGGAAATCGCTGGAAACTAGTCGCTCCATGAAATCTACCAAAGCTTGAATATTCACACTAACCTTTATTTTCAGGTTGCTTATTATTTCACACTACTTTTTCTACTGATATCTGCTTTTTTCTATACACCTGTTCTTTGTATACTACTGTGAAGTGTAACAACTTGAGCCGATGCAGCTATGTGAGAGGTTTTACGTTGATTTTACTTGTTTATTTGTCTACGAATATCAACCGACCCATAACTAATCTTCAGATTTTATACCTTATCAATAATAACCTGCCTACAAAAAGTCCACGTAGTTTCGGGATCATTTTGACATAACTTTGATTACTTGCAAGTCTAGTTAAGGGGCGCTCAGTTTAAAGTAAATTGGAAAATTAACTATGTAGAGGCATACATGTGAATTTACCCAAATTATTTAAATTCAATACTATATACCATGGGAATATAGGTCAGTAAATCCAGGAGTGTATGAATGACGACTAGATTTAAGTAAGGAAGATAACTCATCATTAATCAGTTTCAAACAATGAAGTAAAAGACATCCCACATCATTAACAGGACTTCTGTCATGTGTCCAGCTGTGTATTAGTGGTTTAGGGGGATGACTATCAACCATTGGGTCACGAGTTTGTGCCCCGCTTCATCCACTGAAGTTTGGGTGACCAAACAGTATCACTAGCCTTCACACAACATTTGTGGCTTACTGCCTAATGCACGAATGTGTATAAGACTGCTGCTGATTGCACTTCTTCTAGCGAACAGTTTAGTAACTGAGATCCTGAAGTTTTTCCCTTTAAAATTTTACAGTATATACACCTACTTTATCCTCACTCTGATATCGAATTACAGTTATTAGGCTTGTCAATTTATCCTACCAACTGAAATCCTGATTACTGTCTGTTGTTTGTTGCATCCAACAGTATGAATGAAGAAGTTGAGCGTGTTAACCACTTCACTTGCTTGGTGAGTCAGATAAATTCTAGTCGGTCAATGACCGAGGAAAGCCGTCCACAGAGGTAAAATAGCTTACCTGGCTATCGTTAACTTACGCCGTTTATGATGGTGCTGTGATATCAGGCTGCCTATTAAGAGTTCCACGTACTTCACTGTGGTATGATTCTTAGGCATGGCCATTGGATGTATGGAACATGAGAAGTTTTACGATGATCGACCACCACTACCCTCGTAGAATAGACTACATATCATGGAACTATCATGACAGTAACGCAATAGTCAGGGGTAGAGTGTTAGTAGACGAGGTTATAACTACTCGCCTATTCAGATGGGTTAGGCATGTGTTACACGTGATGAGTCACCTTTACGCAACTGTGAATTATTAGAACGAAGTAGATTTAGGCTGGAGAATAGTGAAAAGTGACCAGACTAAAACGTAGTATCAGTTCATGAAGTCTGATTATTGGTCTTGACCGTGTAGACAGAGGCAGACTTCCAGATCGGGATACTTGTGACAACCAGGATAGATAGATAAATACTATAGGTAATATGGTTGAACAGAAGTGTCCACGTATTATCTTTATTATCATCGTCATACCTTATTTCGTCACTGTTTTGTGCCCTTCCCCCTCTTCCTCTTTTAGTAGGTCTCTCAACGGTTTTCGATTATTTCACCGGCTATTTCTCCACCTTTTGTCTTATTGCCTTCTGTTTTTATGTGAGGAGTGTCAAAGTGAACCTTTACACTATGATACCACGTTCTAAGTTTTCCTCAACCAACTGACTGCATAACTACTCTTAAATGCTTATGCTCTGAAGTAAATCACAAGTCAAATATTCATTAGAATTTAGATACCAGAAACTGTAAGCTTTACCGAAAAATTATTACACTAAAACCATGATTCAACTTGTTTAACTAATACCACTTACTTATCGTCATTATTCATTGAACGAATAGACAATCGGTAGGTAGGAAACTGTCGTAAGTACCATGATGAGTCAGTAGCTTTAATCACATATGGTATATAGGTAGTTCGATGATCCATCACAGAAAGATTGAAAGAGTCACAGCCGGCATCTAAAGTTGGGAGAACACGAGAAAATATTGTATCCGGTTTCTTCACCAAACGTTTCATGAACTTCTTTAGAAACTTTTCTACTTGCGGATTGCACGTGTCCAGAAGTGTCTTTGAACTATGACCTGGAGGGATCTGGACTATAGATATAACATAGTCATCAAGTTCCATAACCTGTTGAACTTTTATGGCAGGTAACTGTAGGAGAATTATATTAACTGATAAGATTTATCACCTGATTGTCTCAATTAAATAGTGAATAAAGTTGCAAACCTCACTCAAATACCGACTGGAAGTTGGATTAAGAATATAGCAGCTTCCAGGCAGAAGATAGTTCGTTGATTTCACTTAGATGGACTTTTATGTAGCAACAGGGCAGATGAAGGGGCGGATCTATTTTTTGATGACACGTAGTTCCGACTTAATTTTTAGCAGACGGAAAAAAGTGGGTAGAACAACCGTTTAACACGATTGTTACAGGCCACGTGAATACTTCACTCTTCTCTATGAAACGACAGTATTAGTAGCGCCACTGTCAAATATCCGGCAAAATGTGAAGTACTCAATGTCTAATACCTAATGTCTCCTTCATGAGCTTGTGTAAACCAGTCGATTTCTTCGCGTTCGCCTCCAGATCTTGTAGTTTTTAGCCGATTAAGATTCATCAGCCACGCGTTAGGGTATAGCTCTGGCATACCACACAGGTGGGTGGATGATGGTTAGTTTGACAGGGACTGCGGTGTGGCTGAGTCCTTTAAATGTCAACTTTCCAGACATTTCCCCCAACTAGTCGTAAAATAGGGTTAGGGACAGTGACTAAATGACCAACGAATAAAAATACATGTCAGTAAAAAACAAAGATAAGTGAAGTAGTGGAGTAATCTACGTTCATCTAAGTAAGACGATAGAGGTGCAAAAATGTGCAGAACTAAGTTGAGTGAGGTTAAATTGAGGTGAGTAAGAAGAGTGGGTAGGATAGGAAGAGAATTAGTGTGGAGGTAATGGTAATGGAATATTGTGCAGCAGTTGACTCACTCAGTCAAGTTAGTATTCCAACTAGGTAAGCGTAAACCGTGGGTTACCGTGTAAATATCTAGCCTTTTCTTGAGACCATCGACAGTTGTGGCGGATACTACCTCTGCTGGTAGTGCATTTCAGCGCTCGCAGACTCAGAGGGGGAACAAGTGTGAACGCGTACGAGTTTTTGACCCCTGGTGGTCAATCCTCTTCGGGTTTTCAATAGGATCATCATGTGGACCCTCGATGGCACTCCTCTGTTCGGATGGCTTGGGTTGTCTGGTATTTTGTAAGCTATCAACGAATTACCTCGTGACCTTTGGTGGTTAGGAAAGTGTGGGCCCGTGTCTTTTACTTTATTCTCGTATGGTCTCTGGTGCAGTCCTTCAACACCCTTTTGGCTCACCCCCGAACTTCAGCCAGGAGCGTCGTATCTCTTCTTTGGTGTGGTGAAGAGAGGATGTTATGGGCCTCCAAATTAGGTGGAATGTGGGTCTTGTAGAGTTTCAAAAAGAGCTCTGAGGTGATGGCACTTAGTTCCCTGCGCACAAATTGTAGCACGGGGCACGCTTTGAGACACCTTATGGGTAGTTGGGGCTGGCTTCAAGTCTCTTCGTCACTACCAAACCCAGTTCTTTCTCTGTGCAGCATGAAAACGATATGAACCACAGAGAGAGTAGGGTACCTTTTGCAGATGACTGAACTAGAGTCAGAAGAAACTTTCTGCTAAGTACCTATCGGGATTCCAGAAACTGGACTACTAGGATCAGAACTCCTAAACCTACAAACACGCCAGCTTTAAATACTGACAGTGACATTGCACTGCAGTAAATAGTATATCATGTAGGCGTAGTACATCGTAACTGACAATAGTGGCTGTTCGGTCCAAGCAGTGTGTGAAATGAGTATTTTGGGCAGTAGTTTTAACTAATCTCTTAGGCTGCTATAGTATTTTCACCAAATAATTCTGTTTGCTGCGTAGAATGTCGACTTATCTGACTGCGTTGAATTTGCACGGTAGTATTAGGACTCTGTGGGTCAAATGACCTGTCTTAGTTGTTTGCAGCACCTTCACCCCGCATAGGTAAGTTATCTGTTGGTAGCTTCCAAAGGCAGAAGACTCGCGGGTCTTCTGCACAGAAACGCACTCACACCCGAGGCGAAGCTAATACTATAAAAAGTCATGGTTCGCCCAATGTTGGGGTGATGCACAGTTATCTGTGGTAATATGAAAGCAAGTGATAGAGCTCAAGTTGGAGAAATCAAGCGAAACTTTGCCTGGCGCCTACCTGCACGTAACGAAGGACCACCTTGTGAAGTAAGGTGCAAGTCTAGAATGAACTGTGATATCACTTTCAAATCAACACCGATATATATTCCTTGTAATGGCTAGCACATCATTCCTATGAATAAGTATCGCTTACAACTCTGGTGTAGATTTTTGTCACTCAGTATAGTACGCTGTAGATCAAAGTTCCTCTTCTATACAAGCACGCCAGTCTCTCAGCCAGTTTCAAAGATCACTTAGTGAGTTCCTCCCACCTAACGATTCTCACCTGTTCGTTGGTAGCCAACTCACAAACGGTGACACAACGTACGATGGTGCTACCGGTGCATAGATTCAAAGGAGGCTTGTTTAGCTGGGGTATGAGTATATGATGCCAAGAACTCAGAAGACAAGTTAAACTGAAACCTAACAAAACAAGTGGCCTGCAATAAATGTGAAGTGCCGTGTAGAGTGTGATACGATTTGCAACACTGAAATGTGTAGCCACCCTGATGTAACCTCCATTTCCCCGTGACCTGACTGATCTCCAAAGCGGACATGCGCTGATCATAGGCTTCTGTAAGTGACATCAAGATTAGCAAAAGGAGGAGAGGTTTCTTTAAAGGAAGAAAGTTTATGATACTGCGTGGTACAAGAGTGTTGGCGACAAACTGAAAGACAACTCATAACATAAAAACAGCTTGACACCGTGATACAGCAGATCTGATGGTGGGAATTTATGGAAATCAATGTTATCTGGGGTCATCAGTCCCAGTATACGCCCTACACCCTCCCTTCCCTTGAGATCTCAGTAACTATCTCCCCCGACCCCTATGCTCATATCATAGCTGATTCTCGAATGCGAAACGGAGTTACCAACTTCAGGCATTTGTGATACTCAGGCAAGAGGAATGGAACATATGAAACTCCACAGGTGTTCCATAACTAAAATACTAAACCATGTAACCCCTTATATCTCGTGCCCCCTTTAAACACTCTAGCCTTCACCAGTGTTTTCCAACATTCTAAGATAACTAACTGCACGTCTCACGACTCTATGTTTCTCTCTCTCGCCCGATATGCAGATTATGGCTTCGGATGCACACTCAGCATCAAAAGTCTATTCAAAGCGTCAGAACTGTGGTTTACACTATCTAGAGATGCAAAAAGCCAGAAGATAACGCATCCCAGGCTACAACCCCCCCCTTCAAAAAAAAATTCATGGACCTTATAGGAATTATTTCTAGAAACGTAAGTAATGAATGCTGTTTGCGTTCGAACACTCAGGTTCTTCGAGTCCTGACAACCACCCATTTGGAAACGAAGATAATCGAAGGTGACCCCATATGAAGTGCAGACCTTGAAGTCTTTTTGGGTGGTTTATCGAAGGAACCTTATGCATTTCCCTCGTGATATGAGACCGGTGGCCGGATAAAACTGCGTCTTCGGCTAAATTTATTCAAATGACTCTGTTTACAACATTGTAGATCTAAACAACAGCTACACTGTGTGACACCATAGAACACAAGACCCGAATTTTGCTCCCGTCCATCCCAGTATTTAGCCCTAGTTTCACATTCTATCTGCAGACGGTACAAATTTATTGAGCATTCACGTATTTTCAGCTCTATTTGTGGTCAACGTTCGATACACAATGTACTCTTACTGATAATATGACTCACTTTTGCTAGGATACTGCTCATACTGAATGATTGTACCCATGTCAATTTCCACTGCTGCCGCTTGACAACACAGCTTTTACCGATATCTATGACTAGAAATATTCAGACGGTTGCCCGCTCCGAAAGACTTTATATGGCGCGATGATTTATTCTTTCTAACCTTTCTCAGCTTCGTTGTGAAAAATAGCATTCAGGTATTGCCTGTAAAAATGGCATGTGTTCGTGTAATTCATCATCCGGAATATATCATTATTGTTGTTATTATTGTTACTGTGAGTCAGAGGCCACCAAAAACAATGTCGTCCTACGGCCATTTACAGACTGAGTAGTTCATATAAATGTTTTCCGTCAGCTGAGTAGCTTTGCATTCGCTACGGGAAACGGAGGTGTCAAGTATAGTCAAAATGTGCTACTAAAAAAACTCGGCTAGTAAGCGATTGCTTCCCACAGATACATAAACTTCGTTATTATCCGCCGCCTCAAGGCACTGCTTTACAGCCGGCCACAGTGTCTTCTTTCTTATTCACAAAAGAATAGCAAAGTCTGTCACCATGACAGCGGGCTTCAGTTTAATATCGTTTCACCCCTCGTCAGCAGGCATGACCCGTAGGGCAAACGAAGTCGGATGTGACGGTACTAAGTAGCGCCATATCATGTGCGAACTGAGAGAAGCATGAAGAATTTGGATCGTCGGATTAAGACTTAGTGGCTCCCTAGCAGGGTCATGGGTGCCTACTGCTGAGCATTCCCGTACTAGAATGAAAAAATGACTCAGTCGTCTCAAATATTCAATCGTTTTCTGACCCATGTAAGTTCGTGATGGTAGCCAACTTAAAATCGACAAAATCACCACCTTCTTCTTACCCGCAAGTTGATTTCCTTCATCTAATCTGCGATACTTACTGCGCGGTCAGTCTACTTCTCCTGCACACTCCCTTTCTGTAAAATAAACCTTGAATGACCTTCCTGTTTCTTGTCAAATTTTGCTGTAAAAATTGAGCTTTCCTCCTAAGTGGTTTCCAACGAGCGTTTTAACAGATGTCGACTGAAAACTGGTCAGCGTTGGACACTTACTTCCTATCAGTTTATGACTTTTCAACAGGGTTCACTCATGATCATATCATACTGGATCCAGTCAACATCTGGCAACTTCCACTGCAAACATTTGATCATTTAACCGTCAGTTTGGAATCAACTGATGCATT